TCCATTGTAAAGAGGTGTTTCATTATATTAAGAAACTAATGCTATTGTGATTTAACAGTTTTTGTATCACGTTTCTATTTCCGTCTAATTTAAGTCAACCTTTATAGGCGTCATTATCAGCTATAGAAGTGTACATATTTTTTAATCTAAGTTTCAATCTCACGAATTTAAAAAGAACTTCCCCTTTAACTTTCCCTTTTTAATTCATCACGAGCAAATAACATGGTTGTTAAGATTGCATGCGATTATAAAAAGCATACTTGTTTCTACGATGTATTTGTTTAAATATAGAATAAGTACATTCAGCATAACAGTTTTATATCATCCGACTTTTACATAGGCTGTATGGAAAATTTAGTTTAAAAATGAAGTGTTGTTTTGTGTTTACAATCCTGGTATATGTAAGTATCAAGCTTGTTTAAATTTTAGAATATACGCAACAAAGTATTTCGGTGTATAATATAATGCATCTGGTCGTCCGTTCGTCCGTCTGTTAGCAGTTTTCATGTTGGTCTGTATTTTAACCATTGAAAAGAAAGTGAAACTACTTGGCAGAAATGTCACTCGTAATGAGATGATATGCAGAACGTAGATTTGACATGACATTGTCATTCTTAGTCATTCTCATCAATTTCACAATTTGGTATCCGTTTTGAACCGGTAAAAAGGAATTAAAAATTTTTGGCAGAAATATTAAGTATAATGAGACGGTGTGCAGAATATAGGATCTCCTGAAATCAGAATTGGCCAACTTGATTTATATAGGTAAACACAATAAAGTTTCCTTATGTGAGACAACAATGTCTAGAGCTTAGGTATCTAGCATGTACCACTGCCTTATTGACCTTTACAAAACTGCAATGAATCATGCCCCTTGGTTAAATATTGTCCCTGGCTGATGGAGTTAATAGACTAACATAAGATATTCACAGCCGATACGTATTGTGTCAAACTACGATGTATAAATGTAAGATATTTGGCATTAAACATTACTTTGGAGGCAACAAAATAACTGGTATAGATCATGTCCCTTAGGATAATATTGGTCCTGTCCGGGGGTCCCTTAGCTTTTGTATGTTTGTGTGGGAAAATATTTAAGTCTTATTTTGGTGAAACTACAATGCCTAGAGTTAAGATATTTGACTTGAAGCATTGCCTTGTTGGCAACTACATAACTAGGACATGCCGCTTCGGTAAATGTTGGGGTCACCAAAGGGATCAATTAGTTGATACGTTCATGAATGAGAAACACATTCCAGTCTTATTTAGTGAAACTACAATACCAAGAGCTAAGATATTTAGCATGCAACATTACCTTTTGAACGTTTGCAATATTGATATTGTTATGAAATTTGAAACTAGTCTTTTACTAGAAGAGTCTTCTTTCAGGATGGTATATCTGGACAACATTTCTAAGCTGGTAAAAATGTTAACTTTTACTCATTTTTTGTTGTAAAACAATTGAGTCATTAACAGTCCAGAATATTGGCACAGCTCAGTTATTTTTAGATTATGAGCATACCTCATTCCAAATTTGGTAAGGTCGCGCAGCCAAAGGTCGCGCGACACTTAAAGTCGCGCAATAGGAAAGGTCGCGCAGAATCAGTTTTCCCAGGCATGCTAGTTCCAAATATGGAGAGGTCGCGCAATAAAAGGTCGCGCAGACTAAAAGTACAAGGTTTAAGTTATTTTTAGCCCTTCAGCATCTCTATTGTTGTTTACAAAGCATAATTTGGTCATATCAGATTTTATGAATGGGATTCCTTACTGCTTTATCTATGTACAGGTTACTTGGTTCAAATGTTGAGCTATATGTTGTAAAGCTGGAGAGATTATATTTCTGTTGTTTAACGAATTATCAGTCAGTATTATAAGTTTATAGAATTGTCAATCAGTAGTAAGTGTATTGGTCTTATAAGCCATATATAGTACATTGTTTGTTTGTTTCAGTTTACGCCTTTTCTCAACAGTATTTCAGTCATATAGGCGGGTAGTTTCCTAACCTACGGTCCTGGAGAGTTACACCAGTACTAGACTACCCTCCTCCGCGCTAAACTACCAAAGCATCTCCCGGGGATCGAACCCACGCCAGAGAGGTAACTGGATTAGAAGTCATCGACTCTAACCCCTCGACCACGGAGGCGGTATATATAGTACATATATCTTTATTTATACAAGTGTATTTTGCACTATTACATGTATTAAGTTGCATTATTGGACAGATAATAATTATGCTATTGAGTGTTAACATGTAAATTAATATAACTATTATGTATTTTTGTACTTATGTTTGTATTGTACAACAGTCTGTATACCTGAACCAGTTGCAGGCCATTTTGAACATTGTTAAGGCATTGTCAGCACATTCAGGTCGCGCAATGAGTTGTGTGCCAAACTGGTTAGCGCAAGTGGGTCGCGCGACAGTCTACTTTTGCACACCACCCTAGCTGCGCAAACAGAAGGGTATATAAGCTGGGAACTTTTATAGTTGAGCTAGAGTGAGTTGGGGTTTTGAGTTGGAGTTGAGTTGGTTAGTTTTTGAGTTAGTAATTGAAGAAATGTATTTGTTGAAGTTGTTAAGAATTTTACTTTGGTTTTGACTGTTGATAGAAAATAAAATGATGCATTATTTTGATTTACTGCAATAAATATAATCCTGCTTTCACTTGGACTTGACTTGTTCATTATACCAGCATAGAGAAATGGTTTACTTTTAAGCGAAAAACGTGAATAAACAAAGCTTTTCACAAAAGAGTTTTCGCAACAATATCATTTATGCCCCTGGGGTCAAAATTTACCCGACCCTTTGTCCCTTGATTAAAAGGAAACACAATAAAACATGATAAACAAGCAAATTCGTTGAATTTTTCCCCCGCCGAGTACTGGTTATTATTAACACAACAACTGAAGACATAAGGCTTTATTTATATATTAATCATGGCATAAACAGTAATATTCTTTGAACTTGATAAATATTCAGGGCAATAACAGAGCCATAACTTTGTGTTAAATAGTAAAATCTGGAAATGCCAATGAGATGTATGCATACTACATAACTAATCAAGGGCCATAAATCTGAGTTATAAGTATCTGACTGGAACAAGGCGACTATATGCGCATCTCCTCTTAGTATCCCATAAAGTTTCATTGAATTCCAGCCAGTAGTAGCAGAGAAGTAGCGAGGAAACAAATATTTTTCTATATGGATACTGCATAACTAATCAAGGGCCATAACTCTGAGTTAAAGTGTCTGACCGGAACAAGCCGACGATATGCGCATCTCCTCTTGGTATTGAAGGTTCCCATAAAGTTTCGTTGAATTCCAGCCAGTAGTTGCAGAGAGGTAGCGCGGAAACGAGTTTTACTCCATATGCATACTGCATAACTAATCAAGGGCCATAACTCTGAGTTAAAGTGTCTGACCGGAACAAGCCGACGATATGCGCATCTCCTCTTGGTATTGATGATTCCCATAAAGTTCCGTTGAATTCGAGCCAGTAGTTGCAGAGAACTACTCCGGAAATGATTTTTACTCTATATGCATACTACATAACTAATCAAGGGCCATAACTCTGAGTTAAAGAGTCGGACCGGAACAAGCCGACGATATGCGCATCTCCTCTTGATATTGAAGATTCCCATAAAGTTTCGTTGCATTCCAGCCAGTAGTTGCAGAGAACTACTCCGGAAACGATTTTTACTATATATGCATACTACATAACTAATCAAGGGCCATAACTCGGAGTTAAAGGGTCGAACGGGAACAAGCCGACGATATGCGCATCTCCTCTTGATATTGATGATTCCCATAAAGTTTCGTTGAATTCCAGCCAGTAGTTGCAGAGAACTACTCCGAAAACGAAATTCGGACGGACGGATGGACGGACGGACAACGCCAAAACTATATCCCCCTCCCGATTCCATCGGCGGGGGATAACAAGATCAACAAGGAAAGGCGGCGTTCAATTAACGCAAACCTAAACGACTAAGCAACAAGAACCAGCGGCAAGGAGCCCTGGAGGACCCTAAACAAAATGAGGACAGGAGGCAGAGCAAGGACAGGATAATCACATAAATGATACTTAAAAATAATAGTACAGACAAGGAAATGAAAGAAAACAAAGAATTGATAGATTATAGGCTCACAAAGTAAAAGGGCATACTATGCCTATATATGGCATATAGCATTGCCTAGGTGGCCTCCATAAAAGTTTTAGAATCATACACTTGTGTACAAAATGCTTTTTCACCTTAGGGGTCATATTGCATTAAAATGATGGTTTTTGCCCTGCCCTGCTTTTTGTTTGGGATCCGCCTGGGCTCCTTGCCACTGGTTCTTGTTGCTGGGTCATATGGGGGTTGCGTTCATTGAACGCCGCCTTTCCTTGTTGATCTTGTTTATCATATTTTAAATTGATAAAACCTTTTTTCAGACATGTTTCTTGAGTGTGTCTCTACCTTTCCAAGAGATTTCTTTTGATTACGCAAACAAATTGACGTTCTTTCGTTTACTGCTCCGCCTATGCGGTGCTCTTGTTTACAAAAAATATCTGATAAAACTATTTTATCTTCTCACAGGTGAAGGTTTGCTGTGCAACGACATATTCGAGTGAGTATACTTTTATGTTATTATTCCCAATGTAAGGTGTTGCCATCATATCATGATCGTAATTGTTTTTGTAATTGTTGTTATCAATGTAATTCATTTTTAGGTTACAAACATTTTATGAGTTCTCGTTTCCATATAATAAAGTTATAGAGAGAAAACAAGAATTATAAGAGAAAACATAACCTTGTCTTTACTTTTTAAAGAAAACAGAAATATTTCAGAATTTCTTTTTAAGTTTTTGAGAAAAGGAATTTTTATTGTTTTGTTTTGACAAACATATTAACATCGTATTTATTTGTTTTTGTCATCATTGAAAATGTGTCGACTGAATTTATCCTTGTATTCAAAACTTCTGACATAAGTGTGTTGTATTATATTTATTCAGGTCACTACGGGATGGATTTTGATTTAGGAATGGTACCTATGTACTCTTATAATCCAAATATAATTTTGGATATTGCGTCCAACGAAACTGGACAGGCAAAGTTGTTCATACCATTTCTCAACATAAATAAAACCTATTCTCTCAATAATGGACAAACCACAATTTCTATTAACAATAGCCTAATAAAAAGAGGAAATTTTACAGAAAACAGAGGTATTAATTTGCAGACGGATGTTCTTGTTGCAATTTATGTAACGTTATACCTAAGTAGTATAACTGAATCATACTTAGCTCTACCAAGAATATTTACTGGTAAAAAGTATGTTATATCTGCCTTTAAACCATTACCAGGCGAATATTCGGAAGTTCTTATTGTAAGTAATGCGAAAGAATCATCTGCAAATGTAAACATGAGTGTGAATGGGGAGACAAAAGCTCAGTCGTTGAATTGGCTTAACTCCGAACAACTTGTATCTTTATCTGATATATCAGGTGGCATGGTTATATCTAATTCATCTCTATCAGTAATTGCTGGCACATCATGCGCGCGTGTACCAACTAACTTTACTATGGATTGCGGATTTTTAGTTGAACAAATGTTTCCTACGAATGCATGGGAAAAAGAATACATCGTTCCAAATATGCCACCGAGAAATGGAAATTTGATTCGTGTTGTGTCAGAGAATATTGGAGATGTTTGTTTTCACATAAGAAACGGCTCTTCATGTAAACAGATACCTTATCCGGACCCTTTAGAGATAATGACAGGATCAGAACCCGTAGTTGTCACATCGAACAGTTTCATTGGCGTTACTGCGTACGGAGTTGGAGGAGGTCCATTCATGACGAATGTGCCCGGCATTGGAAACTTTATGAACACTTATTATTTTGTCGTCCCGTCAACATATGCATCGTATAACAATTACATAGCGGTAGTAGCTCCCTCGGCCGACATACACGGACTACGTCTTGATGGTCTTTCATTAACCACTAGCCAAGTTATTAAAGTGCCATCTCCGTACAATAATTACAGCGTCATTATTTCAAAAGTTCAAGCTGGATATCATATATTAATTCACAGAAATGAAACTGTAAAGTTCGGAGCTATTCTGTACGGAAGTGCTTATAACGAAGGGTATGGGTACCCGTTGGGAATTCAAAAACATATAGGTACGAAGTTATTATGCCCCCACAATGTGGGAGCATATAGCGTTGCACTTGTCCGTCCGTCCGTCAGTATGTCAGTCCGTCCGTCCGTCAGTCCGTCCGTCCGTACGTCCCGAAATATTGTGAACGCAACTCCTCTTAAACCAGATGGCAGATTTTGCTTAAACTTACAGGGATGAACAACCTTAATGTGTAGATGGTAGTAAAGGAAGGAATTTTCGCTGCGATCAAATTTAACAGAATTATGGCCCTTTGTTGATTTTTTCACTAGATACTATGTAGAAATTTTGTGAACGCAACTCCTCTTAAACCGGATGGCAGATTTTGCTTAAACTTACAGGGATTAACAACCTTAATGTGTAGATGGTAGTAAAGGAAGGAATTTTTGCTGCAACCAAATTTAAGAGAATTATGGCCCTTTGTTGATTTTTTCACTATATACTATGTAGAAATTTTGTGAACGCAACTCCTCTTAAACCGGATGGCAGATTTTGCTTAAACTTACAGGGATGAACAACCTTAAGGTGTAGATGGTAGTGAAGGAAGGAATTTTCACTGCGACCAAATTTTACAGAATTATGGCCCTTTGTTGATTTTTTCACTATATACTATGTAGAAATTTTGTGAATGCAACTCCTCTTAAACCGGATGGCAGATTTTGCTTAAACTTCCATGGATGAACAACCTTAATGTGTAGATGGCAGTAAAGGAAGGAATTTTTGCTGCAACCAAATTTAACAGAATTATGGCCCTTTGTTGATTTTTTCATTATATACTATGTAGAAATTTTGTGAACGCAACTCCTCTTAAACCAGATGGCAGATTTTGCTTAAACTTACAGGGATTAACAACCTTAATGTGTAGATAGTAGTAAAAGATGGAATTTTTGCTGCGACCAAATTTAACAGAATTATGGCCCTTTGTTGATTTTTAGTTTTCACCTTGTGGCACATGTAGTCCAAAAAATATTTGACCTAGAGTCATAAGATTGACAGAACAGTGGCGTGTGGGGGCATCCGTGTCCTATGGACACATTTCTAGTTTTACGTTTTGTTTTTGTTAATGTCTACATTTGACTTAAATATTTACATATCGGCGTCTCATTACCATCAAAATTTTAAGAAGCTTTTCCAACAGAATATTATCAATAAATGACAGCCTTTTTCTCATTATTGTATGTTTGTTTTAGAAAATGAACCTGATGCTAGGAATGTGAATGTATGTTTCAATTGTGAAGACATGCACCATATAGAATTGTGCAATGTTGTTCAACGATGCCAGGGACATGAGGTAAATGTGTATAACATTTTATTCTAGAAGCGTTGTAAATAAAAAAAGATTATCATCTTTAAATAAACGTTGATTCAATATTATATGACATTACAGGAATATGTCAATAACTATTAAATCTTTACGATTGCATGTGTTTCATATGTCGTATTGGGGTTGCGTTCATTGAACGCCGCCTTTTCTTGTTGATGTTGTTTATCATATTTTCTTAAATGTCATACGGATAGCAAATAGATTAAAACCCATGCATATTTCATTTTGTGAAATGATACGTTATGCTTCTACAGATTTGCTTTCTTGAACGTTTCATGATGCATGGAAAACAGCTATTTCGATCCGGTTGTATGGATGAACAGATAAGTACAATTTACCTAAAATAGCCCAAATATCTCATTTGATTATTTTCCAATATATTTGCTATACATGCAAGCACTTCGAAAACAGATACATGGATAAAAATATAACCGTATTTGTATGCTTGTGAGTGGATAGCTGAATAATTCATAAAAATTATTGTTGATGGTTCATTGAACGCCGCCTTTCCTTGTTGATCTTGTTTATCATATTTTCACATTGGAAATTATCAAAATATATTTTTAAACATTTCCTTTTTGAAAATGTTCCCTTTGCTGTCACTAGCATTTATTTTCGCTAAAAATTTCAGACATCACTAGGTTCGTTTGTAAGTAACCAAAGCTGAAATTGATTAATAGCTTTAATTGCAATCATATTGTGTAATAAAATAAATAAACTTTCTTCAATTCACTTTTCATCTAACAGCGTCTATTTATTTTTTGTGCCCCCATTTAAGTGGCGGGCATTTAGATTAACCCTTGTCCGTCCGTCCGTCCTTCCGTCAGTCCTTCCGTCCTTTCTTTTTTATGTCGCACGTTACTCAAAAAGTATTTGACCTAGAGTCATGAAACTTTACAGAAATGTTGATCAACATGTGTAGTTTTGCACCTAGGTATTTGTGTGTGGATATATTAGTATTTTTAGAGTTATTGGCCTTGACTTAGTAAAAATTTGCAATTTTCAACTTGTGTCGCATGTAACTCAAAAAGGTTTTGACCTGAGTCATGAAACTTTATAGGAATGTTGATCAGCATGTGTAGTTGTGCACCTAGGTATTTTTGTGTGATAAAATATATAGTATTTTTAGAGTTGTCCGGTACTGGTAGGATTTCAACCAAATTTCACAGGAGTGATCCAATACAATCCCTAGTTGTGCACATCATTGGCATATATCTCTTCGCTGCACAAAATTGTCACCTGAGCTAAAATCTATAACTCTTATCCTGCTTTCACAGGTAAAACAACTGGTGGTATTTCAACCAAACTTCACATGGAATCGGGAGGGGGATATAGTTTTGGCGTTGTCCGTCCGTCCGTCCGTCCTTCCGTCCGTCCGTCCCTCCGCACTCACAGGAGAGTAATTATGTGGCTAGAGGGAGAATAGGTAACTGTTCTTTCTCTTTGATGTCATTCATTCCGTAATGCTTTTATGTGGCTATTTTCTTTTGTGTGGCTAAAAAGAACAATAGAGAGAACAATAGAGTAGCCACATAATTACTCTCCTGTTAGAACGTCCGTCCGACCGTCTGTCCGAATTTCGTTTCCGGAGTAGTTCTCTGCAACTACTGGCTGGAATTCAACGAAACTTTATGGGAATCATCAATATTAAGAGGTGATGCGCATATCGTCGGCTTGTTCCGGTCCGACCCTTTAACTCAGAGTTATGGCCCTTGATTAGTTATGTAGTATGCATATAGAGTAAAAATCGTTTCCGGAGTAGTTCTCTGCAACTACTGGCTGGAATTCAACGAAACTTTATGGGAAACATCAATATCAAGAGGAGATTCGCATATCGTCGGCTTGTTCCGGTCAGACACTTTAACTCAGAGTTATGGCCCTTGATTAGTTATGTAGTATGCATATAGAGTAAAAACCGTTTCCGCACTACTTCTCTGCAACTACTGGCTGGAATTCAACGAAACTTTATGGGAACCTTCAATACCAAGAGGAGATGCGCATATCGTCGGCTTGTTCCGGTCAGACACTTTAACTCAGCTCAGAGTTATGGCCCTTAATTAGTTATGCAATATGCATACGGAGTAAAAATCGTTTCCGGAGTAGTTCTCTGCAACTACTGGCTGGAATTCAACGAAACTTTATGGGAATCATCAATATTAAGAGGAGATGCGCATATCGTCGGCTTGTTCCGGCCAGACCCTTTAACTCAGAGTTATGGCCCTTGATTACTTATTTAGTATGCATATAGAATAAAAATCGTTTCCGCACTACTTCTCTGCAACTCTTGGCTGGAATTCAACGAAACGAGAACCTTCAATACCAAGAGGAGATGCGCATATCGTCAGCTTGTCCCGGTCAGACACTTTAACTCAGAGTTATGGCCCTTGATTAGTTATGCAGTATCCATATCGAAAAATATTTGTTTCCTCTCTACTTCTCTGCTACTACTGGCTGGAATTCAATGAAACTTTATGGGATACTAAGAGGAGATATGCATATAGTCGCCTTGTTCCAGTCAGATACTTATAACTCAGATTTATGGCCCTTGATTAGTCATGTAGTATGCATACATCTCATTGGCATTTCCAGATTTTACTATTTAACACAAAGTTATGGCTCTGTTATTGCCCTGAATATTTATCAAGTTCAAAGAATATTACTGTTTATGCCATGATTAATATATAAATAAAGCCTTATGTCTTCAGTTGTTGTGTTAATAATAACCAGTACTTGGCGGGGGATATAAATTCAACGAATTTGCTTGTTACAATTTGTTTTGATTAAAAGGACTCGACCTTTATTAAAACAAAGTCAACATCAACGACACGAAAACTGAAAATAGCTTAAACAAATCATAGATGATGATCTGCAGTCACGATATGACGTTTTCACAGAACAAAATATATATCAACGTGATTTGTTTAAGCTGTACCATTTAATAGGAAACATACTTATAGCTAACTTTCTTTAAAGTGAACTTAATCCGTACAATATAACATGGTATTTATTTATTTCTTTCTTTCTTTTTTGTTTAGATATGTTTCAAAGAGGCTAATGGAAGTGACCATGATAGATGTACAGAATGCTGTGTCGGCAGCTATTGTAATCATCAAGGTTGTGGAGAGACAGGTAACTTTTTTTTCACTTATCTTATGCCATTTCTGTTCATTTGGTTTAATTTGCTTTACGTGTGGTTTACTGAATGGGTTTTTAAGTTTTCTTCTATATATCCTTTTCGAATTATAGTCATAGTTAATGTTGTTGGATTTTTCTTTCCGGTTTTTAGGCTTACCAGGAAGAAGTTTTCGTGGACCGTTATGTTTTGATTGTGAATATGCGTTTACCCCGGAGGAATGTGACACACTGAAACTTTGTGACGATGGACAAGTACTTAATTTTCATTATCACCATTATTTTTTATATCGCAACTGTTTGTTTTTTAATATTAGACAAAATTCTTTAATAAATTACTTAAAAATATCATAATACCATAATTTGTATTCTCATGCAGACATGTTTATGAAAAACGAGAAAAAGATCAACAAGATAAAGGCAACGTTCACAGGACGCAGCCTGTAAAGACATCCTTAGACATACTTTTAATTTTGATTATATATAATAATTCTATTATGATTATCATAGCTTTGCAGAATTGAAGAAACTAAATGGGGGACCAGTAGTAATTTCAAAATGGGTTGTGCCCACGCTTCGGTAATAATACTTTTTAAATTATTCATATAAAGATACTTATGTTTATAAGCTTGACCTGTTTATAAAATCGGTAAAACTTATAAGGAGATCTTTATTATTTTCAAACCTTTCTACTGTTTCGTGCTTGTTTAGTGCTTCTTGTTCTGGATCATTAATTTTAATACCCATAAGAATATAAACATAATAAGTGGTGCCAATAACAAGGTTATTCATTCAAAATGAATGCCACATTGCATTAAAACCGTCACGTTTAACGAGACAAAGATCTTTAATTCTTGTAACGAGACAAAGATTTTTAATTTTTTAAGGACTTCTTACATACAACTTCAAGTACAAAAACCAAAATTAAAGGTCACATTACAGATGGATATACTGTATTGTAATGTATTATATTGTATACAATCCTTTAATTTATAGTGTCACGCTGTCACACGTTCTATTTTGCCAAGAAGTTTGTCACCTATATGTCAGACTTGTTGTTCTGAGGATTTCTGCAATGTTAATTGCACTTTGGGATCAGAGCATGGTCATCCAGTTATAATCGGTTTGTACACTTTCTATACAGCTCCATTGAACTTTGTTCATTTTAAATATTTTTGGTTCCGCGTGTAGAACAGGATATACATTTGTATCCAAATCTTATACTTTTTTTTTCATTATATAAAACGTTTCAAAACTTGTCAAAGTATCAACCAAATGTCATTTTAATACTGTTTCATTGCTTATGACATTAAAGTATTGACATTACAATTGTTTGTTTTTACTGTCTTAGAAAACCCATGGTAAATATTCCGTATCTATTATTCAGAAAATAATATGTATTTGTTTTAAAGTTACAAACTAATCTTAGTTTTTGATGTTATCTTAACATTATGTTAAAATTGCTTTATATTTTACAGGTTGAACCAAAGAAAACCACATAACAGCCATAATTTATTTTATATAAAAACAATTATAACCAGAATGCTATATCAATTCCATCGATTTCAAATGACGTTTCCAGTAAGATATGTGCCCGTATACGTTCATAAAATTTTATCATCAAAAGAGGACATCTATCATATTTGTTTCAAATTTATAGAAGATTCTAGCCATATATGTACTTAATCACAACACAAACTTGTTTCTTTCTTGATTTGCTGTTTTATGATTGGAAATTGAAATATTTGCAATGTAAAAGAATTTATTGTATTTAGATCGTCATCTTTTTGATTCACATGTATTTGAAATATTGTATATATAGACGGGTGTGCTGATATTTCAGCATTTCATGTTATTTGTGCTATAAAAATGATCAAGTTATAAGAACCATTCTGTTTATGTATGGACTAGGTTGTTTGCTTAATGCAAGCCTTTTGTATACATACTCTGAATTTATATTGTTAAAGAAGTAATCACCTAACCAGAAAATAAATACAACTGAATGTTCTTCTGTTTCTTTACTTATGTTATGGTATGCGTTTTCGTGTATTACGTTGGTAACATCTAACACATTTTTACCCAATTTTGAATGCTACGTTTGATTGCTTATATTTATAAATTAAGGAGAAGTTTGAGAAAAGTGATTGTATACGATTGAACTGCTTAGTATCCTGTAAGTAAAGTACCTCACGTGACTAAATAACTTGAAAAGAAAGATCAGACATGAAGATATAATATTCTGGTTTGATTTCTTTTGTAAACAACGGAAAGAAAAATGAAAGAATTATTCAAATGTGCTAAAAAGACAAAAACAAAGATCAACAAGGCAAAGTACACAGGACGCAGCCCCGTGTATAAGTACAGAATGTTTGGTCATTTGTATAAATTTATTTAAATTAATACTAAATCTAGAATGTTTTATTTCAATCTAGTTAAAAGGAGGGGAACAATGACATTTCTTACTAGTCATATTCTGACTGAAAACGAAAAAATGAATGAAAGAAAGCAAACATTTCAGAAAACAAACTATATGGCGGAAAGTACACCACATATTTGCTCTTTATATCTTACAAAAAATGTTTGCTTTTGAATTCGAAGTACAAAGAAGATAGATGTTTCATTTTTGCCTTAAACAACATCCGGTTAAAAAAATAAAGTGCTGCATTAACTACACAATGTAGCATCATCTGGGTATATTAATCCGAATCAAATTGGAAAACGAACCTTTGTTAAATGTAAAAGAAAATCAAGAAACAAAAAAAGTACTGAAAGAACAGAAAATACTTCAAAAGTTCTGTTGAGTGTTGCTGTTGTTGTTGTTGCTGCTGCTACTGTTTTTTAGTGATATGTGTAATGAAGAATGAAGCAGAAAACAACCATTATAACACTAACTAAATAATTACTTCAAAGGGTGACCATTTGATTATCTATTCATCTGATTGTAAAGGAAGTTGTTATCAGCAATCATCAATAATTTAACATGATTTAGTTTTTTGACTTATTGCTAAATAATCCTTGATCATTAACCCAAAAGTATTTCAATTTTGTTCTTAGCATAAGGCGTGAAAAAGAATAATTAAATTTAGATAAATAAATGTTAATTTTTATGTTTTTAAGTTTCATTTTATTGGCAAAATCAGCAAAAACAATTGGCTTTGGCCATTTACGAATTATACATGTGAAATCTACCGAGCTCAATCTCTAAGTTTTGTGAACATAATCTTAATCCTGTGAAAGTTTTCCTTAATTCATCATTTGATATTTTATCCAAATATAATTCATAACAAACTGTAGTTTTGAAGATTCTATAGTAATCGAATTTATTTAAACATGTTTCCCACTCTTGAATGTACTGATCTCGCAATGTCCCCTTAATCAATGGCAAATTATTGATAATTGTATCAAGATGGTGCAATAAATCTGAAAATCAAAGATGATTAATGATAGAATGTATCCGTTTAGCCCAGCTAAGGCCAGTCACGTTTACACATTGATCCGTATAAATTTCGTAAAAAGGTGAACTGATAGTTTTTTTATTTATTTTTAACCAAAATTTAAGTGACCATTCTTTAGCAATAACAGAAAGTGAAAATCTTCCTAGTTCTAGTTCTACCAAAACTGCAAGTTAGAATTTTGTTAATATAACAAATGTACAGAATCTTTGTATGCATGTTTCCAGATGCAATATTTCGAAAAGAATTTTATTTTAATGATTTGCCAAGAGTATTCATTTATTCATTCAAGAGTCATTTTTGTCATTTTTGACTTTGTGATTAATACTATATTTGCAGAATTTCGGTTCAAGAAATATAAATTGTAAACATTACAAATCGCAACCGCATTTTCTTGAATATTCTTTATAATTGAGACTTTTTTCAGCTAATGATGCAAACTTTAAAGAAATCATTGCATTCTGCTTGTAAATAATGAAAGCTGAGAAATCAGAGGAAATGATTCATTGGTATCGCTTCTTATCCAAATTAATTTCTTTAATACATTTTCTTATACTTTTCGCGTTTCTGTTAAATACTAGTCTATTTGCTCAAGTCTGGTTTTAATTTTGTATTCCCACATTATGACAACGGCTGGCCCTTTTAAAGGGACTCCACTGAGGTTGTTTGACATGATTGGACTGAAAATATTTTTTTCCAGATAAGTGTACCATTTGATGTAGGTTTAGACCAGTAATCTTTGTGCAAAATTAAAGATCATTCGCGCACTTCGTTTTTCCAGAATAATTTTTCAAATTGTAAAAAACTGACCCAAAATGAAAAGCGTTTAAACGCTTTTCACTCAAATTGCGCTAAGACAAGCATAAAAATACGATTTTCAATTTATTTCAAAGTATATTTCTTAGCTATCTTTGCATCTTTCTGTTTAAAGTGCCCCAGCTCATTTATGTAAGAAATTCAAATATCATGTTGTTAGGCTTTTAAACCTCAGTGGAGTCCCTTTAAAGCCTGCTTAAGAATTATTGACTACTAAAATTATTGGACAGACGTTTTCTGCTGGTGAAATCGCATTGTTAGTTTTGATGCTAATTTTTTCTCTATTATATATTTGCTCTGCATGTCTAGAGAAGCCTCAACAGAAGTTAATATGTTAATAAATGGACACAGAATTCAAATTTAACAATGCAGATTTGAAGATGCCAAATTTGTGATATGTTTATTTATTGTTCAACACCATTTACCGGTCTTGATCGTTGACATAGTCGTAGATCGGTTAAAATCTATGTTGCATGTTATGACAGTAGCACTATGCATCAAAATATCACATAACTTCCGTTTCATTTTCATTTTGCAATGGTATTTCACTGCAGCTGATAAGAATGATTATGCACTATGATTACATTTTAATGATGAAAATCAACAGTAGCACGTATAACATCGAATTGCTTTAAGAACGCAATTATCTGAAAAATAACATAATTCTTTTCCATTTAACCATTGACATTTGTTGTAATTATCAAATTAATTAACTTGAGTTATTAAATTGTATTTCTCTTTCGATCCTGTATGTTTTGTGATTGATATTGTTACTGTGTGTATACTTTTTTTAATCGCCGGAAAGCCCATATGGGCGACCGTACACTCAAGTCGAGCACTCCTAGAGCGTCCCGCCGAGATTTTTCGTCGACTTTTTTCCAGCTTTATTGGTGGAGGAAGAAGCCCCTCCGGGCATTATTTCAGGCACGAGCGTGCACCTGGGTAGTACCACCGACCTTCCGTAAGACAGCTGGATGGCTTCTCACATGAAAGATTTCGACCAGAGTGAGGATCGAACCTACAGCGGTGAGGGACCTGTGATCTCAAGTCAGCGACCTTAACCACTCGGCCACGGAGGCCCCTTGTGTGTATACCACACTTGCAAAATGTTATATAATTATGTATATAATTATGCAAATAAAACAATTTTCAAACATCGAAGAATATGTAAAATATGTACTGCAAATATTTGTGCACATTATATTTAATCAATAAATTACATGCATTCATTTCTTATTGGAAAATTTGAATTAGAATTTATAGAAAATAAATTTCTAATTACCTCCCTTTATTAACATGAAATGTTAAATTGGGTATTTTTTTTATAAAAATGCTTATTGGAACTTACAATATTTTGAGCATCAAATTTATGAAATAAAACCATGAAAAAATTGTGTTACAGGATCTTTAACGAGAAAGCAACAGGCGGAACTAAATAAAATGGAATTTTGAAGATCCTGCACATAAAGTTTAGACGTCAAAAGACAAAATAAAATGCATGCAACATATCCGTAGGTGATTTTACAGCATTCAAGTTGGCATACTGGAAACGCAAAATTGGTTAAAGATGAAATAGAAGTACCACATACAAACATGCAAATACAATAGTTCTGTCATGCTGTAACATTTTTGATAACATTGCGATTTTTACGGCCGTTACACGGCACACATAACAAACCAAATGAAAGATTATTTTTTGTCTTAATTGCCTTCCTACACTTGATTTTCACTAAATCCAGTCGCAAAAAGCAGGAGGAATTCTTAAGCAGTAATTATTGCTAACTAAATCCAATAACATTTGAATTATTGTATCTAATTACAGTTTTATTATCGTAATTTTACGTTCACGATCAATTTTATTGCAAATAAAATGGTAACATTTAAAACTTAATACCAGTGTGTTACTTGCAGTCTTACAGACAGTTTATCTAGAAATGCATTGTATGTTACTGTTACTTATCATTCAATGAATTAATTAATAAAGATATAATAAGGTTTGGTTTCAAATATTATATTGTAACTTTTCGCAGGCAATTGTATTTTATCATTATATATTATTCATCGGTACTCTTGCCTTAATTGAAATTAACCTTAATAACTCCCAGAAACTTAGAAAATAGATGGTTTGTTTTTCTCAATCTGGTTGATGCTAGTATTAACTTATTAATTCATGTTTAAATTCTTATTTCTTCCTTTATCTTTCATGGCATATGGAGGTTCATATGCGAAAACCTCTTCTTTGCATTCATTTATTGATAATTGATATTTCCTTAGTACAATGATTAGATTATGTTGAAGCAGACACGTATATAGCAGTAGAGTGTATATAGAGTAGTATATAGAGTAGTGGTACAATATCTCATATAACGGTTTAGCTATATTTCATTCCATCTAGTCAGTGACTGCAAGTACTACTGTTATATAACAATGAAATGCCACAAACTTGCACTCGTGTAATTCTTTTCTTTATATTTTATCGTTTATATGAACAAGGGATTACTGTTCACTTGTTTATAATGTTTTTTTATAAATCTATTGCAAGGTTTAAATCAATCATCCATTTGTCGCAACTACAATAATATGTATAAAATTAGAATCACAGGGACACACCAATATTGGTTCATGCTATCGTACAAATGCTATAAAATTGTTCGTAACATGTACATGAGGATGATGCATCTCTTATTGTATAATGTCCCAAACTTTGTTTTCCTTTTCTCCCTTCTATACTTTGT